ATTCTATATTCTTTCGAGAAAAAAACAGCGTTTATTTCGTTCGATTATCACAGAAATAGCAGAAATAGGAGCAAAATTAGTAAGTAACTTACAGCTTTTACGGATATCTAAGAGCGGCCCTTTAAATAATTCCGTACCGCTGCCACAGCCTAAGTTTAAAGGGCCGTAGGATAAAGGTTAAAGAGTTAAGAAAGGTATATTTCACTAAGTTTGAATCTGTATTGAAATATGGTATTATTTTTTGGGGTTGGGGGCTTAAGGATGCTGAAACTGTATTTAAAATACAGAAAAAAAGTCTAAGAGTGATTAACCTTTAAGAGACAGGCCATTTAAATTCCGGTAATGGCCGTGGGCCGGAGATAATTTAAATGCCCGCCATTGTAGAGTAATAAAAATTGTAATCATGTTACTGAAAATGCTGTGATTTCTGCAATTTTTGTGATAAACGAACGAAATTAACGGTGCTTTTATCTAGAAAGAATATAGAATCAGATATTATAATTTACAGGTTTTAGAATCTGTAAAATTTGTTACACTGATTCAAAAAAAAAATCCCTCAATTTCGAACGTGTCCACAAATATGCATACAGTTTCTGCATAAAACGTTTCTGCTGTACAAATGCCTGCTGCTGACATCATTCGTACTCTCATACCATCTTATCTGCAAGTGGGTTGGAAACTTCTGTTTATAAAACGCATTCCAAGTACTGGACCCTCTTTGTACACACAAGTGTGGACAAAGCTATCGTATTCTGTCCTTGACACTCTCAGACTGTTTATATCTGAGAGGAGCCACAAGCGATACCGTTCTCCGAACTGTACAAACAGTACTGCCAGACCTTCCAAGCGTAGTGCGTTGTGAAGTGAAAAGAACATCCACCATGGCCTCGTTTCGCTTGGAAGATGAAATTGAGAACCAGCTGCTCAATGACACCAATTCAGACTGTGTCACAGAAACCTCAGAGAGCGGTGAGGAAGAAAGAGATTCAGAAATTGAAGCCAACGAAGACCCATCATCTTCGTCGGCAACCTGGTGACCACCACACCAGCATGGCAGGAGGCGTGTGAATAATTATTCCGGTGGAGCTGTGGGGTTAAATATCAATGAAGCTCCACACGTAAATAAGGATTCCACCCCTTTCTGAGTTTTCATGCTCTACTTCGCAGAGATGAATAGGTACTACCACCAGTACCTAGAAAAACTTCAAGACGGACCTTCTCCACAGCCTGACATGACCGATTCCGAGATGTTTCTGTTTCTAGGAATAATCATTCAAATGGGACATGACATTAGAGACAGACTAAAGGACTACTGGTCGACTGCAGAACAATTTGCCACGCCTTTCTACTCTAACACAATGAACCGCGACCGTTTTCTACACATTCATTTTCTTCATTTCGCAGACAACAATACAAAAACTGACAGGAATGCCGACCGTTATGACCAACTATGGAAAATTCGCACCATCTTCGACACTCTCAATGATGCATATGAAAAATATTATAACCCTTCCGAACATTTGGCCATAGATGAGATAATTGTTAAATTCAAAGGGAGGGTGGTTTTTAGGCAGTACATTCCTAAGAAACACAAACGTTTTGGAATCAAAATCTTCAAAATTTGTGACACCGCTGGGTATACTTATGACATGAAGGTTTATCTAGGAAAAGACAGGACATGTGCTGACCAAGACGTGACAGCGACACATGCTACAGTTAGGGACCTATGCAGACGTATTGAGGGCGTAGGTCACAAACTGTACATGGACAATTTCTTTTCATCACCAGACTTGTTTGAGGAACTGATGACAAAGGACATAACGTGCTGTGGGACAGTCGGACCTAATCGGAAGGGCTTGCCTGACGATTTTTGACAAAGACAATTTTGACTGAAGAAAGGTGACATTCATGTTAGGGTGAGTCAGAACTTGACAGCAATAGTTTGGAAGGACAAACGTGACGTTTATATACAGACAAACATGCACTGTCCTCCAGCAGAAGGCAGTTTCTGTGATGAGCATGGAAATGCCATTATGCCAGCAACTGTTGTCGACTACAACATGCACATGGGTTATGTCGACAGAGAGGACAGAATGGCAAACAGTTATAGCATCAGTCGTTGGACCTGGAAATGGACAAATAAACTATTTTTCCATTTCCTGGATATGACGATTCTGAATAGTTTCATCCTGTTGTCATCCTGTGGTGCAAAATTGTCACACAGAGAATTTCGTCTCGCCCTTGTGCAAAACATGCTGGAACATGCTGCAAGGGGTCCACCTCGCCCTCAACAGTCCATGGGTCGACCTCCTACTGTGTCATCGGCGATATCTCGATTAAAGGAGGCCTCTCGACATCACTGGCCGACTTCCTCTACTTCAAGATTGAGATGTTGTGTGTGCTCTTCGCGTAGGAATCGAAGTTACATCCGGACAAAATGCGTGAAGTGCGACGTTGGACTTTGCATTTCAGGATGTTTCCAACAGGTCCACACGAAGGAAACATTCAGTTAGATGATGCAGGAGGAAAGACAGTCAACTTATAAAGCTGGTGTCCAAAAATAATGTAAGTAGAACAAGAATTTCTATCTTAAAATTAGATTTTAAAACACTGTGTGCATGTGTGGACTGCGAGTCACCATACGGTGTCTTTCGGCTCATAAAGGATAAAGGTGTTAATAACAGAGTATCCTGTAGAAATATGCTTGCTGAATTTAAGATATTAACTGTTACCTCATTACTTCCTTACTCATGGAGCTAAGCCCTTCTGGAGGAGCTGCCAAATCTGCAGCTACACAAGTATTTCCCAGCATTTTATGGAACCCGAAGGTTCATCACCGTGTTCACAAGAGCCCTCCACTGGTCCCTATCCTGAGCCAGATCTACCCAATCCATAGTATCCCACCCTATCTTTCTAAGATCCATTCTAATATTGTCCACCCACCTACGCCTTGGTCTTCCCTGTGGTCTCTCTCCTTCTGGCTTTCCCACCAATATCCTATACACATTCCTTGTCTCCCCCATTCGTGCTACATGACCTGCCCACCTCGTCCTCCGTGACTTGATCATTCTAATTATACTTGGAGAAGAGTACAAGTTATGAAGTTCCTCATTATGCAGTTTTCTCTAGCCTCCTGTCACTTCATCTCTCTTCAGTCCAAATATTCTCCTCAACACCCTGTTCTCAAACACCCTCAGTCTATGTTCCTCCCTTAATGTCAGAGACCAAGTTTCACACTCGTACAGAACCAAAGGCAAAATTATAGTTTTGTATATTCTAATTTTTATGTTTTTTTGACAACAGATGAGAGGACAAAAGGTTCTGGATTGAATGGTAGCAAGCATTACCCGAGTTCAATTGCCTCTTAATTTCCTCCTCAATCAGGTTTTGATCCGTTATCATTGTTCCCAAATATCTGAACTGTGCCACATTTTCAAAACATTTGTTTCCTATCTTTACGTCATGATTCTTCCCTGCATTTTGGTGACGAGACAGTAACATGTACTTAGCTTTCTCTGTGTTTACTTCTAGAGCAACCTTTTTACTTGCGTCAATTAAAGTTTGTGTGTTTTTCTTTATGGTATCTACATTATCACCCAGTAGATTCACATCATCGGCATAGACCAACGGCTGATGTGTCCCATTTAATTTCTGTCCAACCTTGTTTCCTCATTATGAGATTTTATGTTTTATAATAAAGAATAAGATATATACAACTCAGTGTTCCAACATTCACAGCCACAATACCATACATAAACATAATTTGTATGGCCAGTTTTCTAATACTGATCATTACAAAAATGTGTAATTAATCATCATCATCATCAGTAATGTGTCAAGACGACAGGTCCACAGTCTCTTCCAAAACAGTTCTTCCACTTAATGTGATCTAGAGCATTCTCCTTCAAATGAGAATATCCTCTTCTGTCCCCAAGGTCATCCAGCATCTTCTTACGTCTTCTGGTCACTTCTATCCATCCCTCTATCTTTCCTTCAATAATTTCTTTTAGAAGGCAGTTACTGTGTAAGATATAACCAATCCAATAAGCCTTCCATTTTATTATTTCGTGTAGGATATTCCTCTGCTCACTGACTCTAAATAACACTTCTTCATTTCTCACATAATCAGTCCAACTGGTCTCCATCCTTCTCCAACACCACATTTCGAAGCTTTCCAGGTGTTTCTGATCTACTGCCCTAAGTGTCTAAGTTTCAGCCCCATACAAAGCGATGCTCCAAATGTAGCATTTCATATAATTAATATGGGAACTAAAATATTTAATTGCCTTCCCTTTGAATTGAAAAGGGTTATAAATTTTTAATGTTTTTAAGTGAAAACTAAAAAATTATTTGCTGTGCAGCGCTTTCTATTCTCTTCATGAATTTTTCAACTAATGTTGGATTTATGACTAGCTTGTTGACTGTCTTTTGGTTTGCAATTTTTAATATTATGTTTACATGTTTTATATTACTGACATTTCTCTTTTGGTCTTCTGTATTTTTTATTACTATGTTCCTTGTAGCGGTTGCTATATTATAGCAATAAATCACTGTGAAAATTTTGTGACTTTGACGTGGGATGCATTCGTTATTATTTCTTGACATGTCCAATTGTATTCACTTCAGTTATGGACAAAAATAAAGTTGAAAGTTGAATGGGATTAGGCCCATGCCGCTATGCCACTTAACATGTGACAGCCCATAATATAAAAATGGTGTTCATTCCTCATGGAGTTCAAATTATGACTTCCAGATGGCAGAAGAAGGCAGACAAAATATTCATGAATGCTTTGGCATAGTATACAGTGGCCAGTAGTGATATATGATTGACATATGACTGGAGAAATGCTAAAGAAAATTTGTCGATTATATGTTTTCTGTGGAAGCACTGACACCATGTCAATTATGTATCAACATATGAATGAAAAGAGTTAATAGCATTCTCTGAATAGTCCTGGTCATAGATAACACTGTACTAGAAGTAAGTTCTTATACTGTACCCTGAAGTATAAACATCAACATGAGAGCACTGCAGGCGCTGTTCACGCTCTTCTAGCTTGTGAGCTACCACCTCTGAAACTTTATCTGCAAGGTTCATTTTCCCAAGTTTGGATGCATATTTCACTGCAAGTTGGACAACATGGTGTGATGGCATCAAGTCACACAATTCAACAGCTCTGTATTCAAGCCCACTTCTGCATGCCAGCTGTAACAGTAAAATATATTCTCCAAGTGAAGGCTGAACAATAAAAAGATAAAATGTTCTTAGTATAGTGCCTCCAGATACAAACTGTTTTGACTTCTCCTGCCTCTACCCACCTAAACACCCCAAGGTGGAGTATTCATATGGCCTATGAGAGTCCAGTGCCTTACTCCAAAGAGATAAAATGTCAATGTGGTGATTCAGTAAGGATTTATAACAGTGGTTGATTAATTATAAACTTCATTAATTTTACATTATTAATTTACTGATATATTGAGTTTTCTTCAGCAGGGACTCTGATGGAATATTTGGACACTCTTCCTATCAAGTTGAAGCAACTCATAATGCCTAAGTATGATATCTGAGGTTTTCACAGTAGTGAGTATTAAGATTACAGTCTTCTGGGATGTCATGCAGTATAGCCTGGGAAATATGTGTCTTTCCAGAGGAATCTGCTCGTCCATCTTCAGATCAAGGCAGCAGATTCTTCTAACACACTGATATGAGTATATATCTACCAAAGTCTACAGTATCACATCCTAGAAAACCATAATCTTAGAACCATAACATGTAAGATCACTTCACAGTTGCATAATACATTCAGAACACAATATTTTGGGATTTGGATTTACCCTGGATTCATATTTCTGATTACCAACATACAGTAAAACCTGCCTTAAACGGACCCTTTGTTAAACGGAAATCTGTCTTAAACAGTAATATTTTCAGGTCCCTTGACTTTGGGGCTGAAAAATATGTTAAATAACCTGGAGTAAACGGAAACTGTCTAATGCGCACAATGGAAATCAAAATAAGCCTTTATACGGAAAATTTCCAGTCTTCCGGAATGTATCGTTTAGAATAATTTTAGGCATCCTATACATTCTACAGAATTTTGTGTTCCTTAACTCTTTAAAATAAGCTTCTAATGGTATTGCACTACCTGCACTGAGATTCAGCAGAATTGTTTTCCCCTTCTGGAAATTGTATTCAGTAAGGGCTCTAGGTCTACAGTTTTACTTTAGTCTAGCAGTTGTCATCATGGCTACAAAGACAAGAGATCTGCTAGATCTTAACACAAGAGTAAAAGTGATTCATGCGAGTGAGCGAGATAAATTGTCTGTTAAGCAGATCAAGAAGATGTTTAACATCGGTAAAACTCAAGTGTATGAGATTCTAAAGAAGAAAAAGGAAATTTTGAAGCGGTGGGAAACTTGTGCTAATGGAAAAATAAAAAGAGAACTTAAGAAAACTGCAAACAAAGACATCAATGAAATAGTGTGGGAGTGGTTTGTCAGTGTGAGGGCTAAAAAATCACCAGTTGCTGGGTCCTATGGTACAGGAATATGCTAAAAGTCAACTGAAAAACTGGGGAAGACTGAATTCAAATATCTAACGGATGGTTGGAGAGTTTTTGCAAAAGACATCGGATAGTTTTTAATGAACTTTGTGGTGAATCAAGTGATGTAAATAGTGAGACCACTGAGGAATGGGAAGCTAAACTGCCATCCATAATCGAGGGATATGAACCTGAAAACATAGCGAACTGTGATGAGACTGGGCTGTTCTTCCATGCGCTTCCGAATAAATTGCTATGTCTGAAAGGTGAAAAATGTTTGGGAGGAAAACTGCAAAGAAAGATTGACTGTTTTTCTATGTGGTTTTATGTCAGGTGAAATGGAGAAAACCTTAGTGATTGGCAAGGCAGCAAAGCCATGATTCTTCCAAAACATGGACATACAGAAACTTCCGGTTGAGTGGAAATCCAACAAAAAGGCATGGATAATGTCACAGCTCATGGAGGAATGGTTAATGGCCTTCAATGGTAGAATGAAAATGCAAAACCGGCATGTTTTGTTGTTCTTGGATAACACAACATGCCACCCCCATATCGAACTTTCCAACGTGCGACTTGCTTGGTTCCCTCCAAACACCACTAGTGTTTCTCAACCAATGGATCAGGGCATCGTTCGGAATGTTAAGGTCCACTATCGTAAATTATTAATGCAATCTTTGCTCGTCAATATAGATTCTACATCATCTGCCTCTGAACTTGCAAGAACTGTCTTGGTTCTAGATGCGGTTATTTGGTTAAGTCAAGCAGTAAAGAAGTTGTTACCAGAAACTGTGACAAAGTGTTTCGAAAAAGCAGGATTTTCTGCGTTAGAAGTTACTCCTAGTGTAGAAAATGAGAATGACCAGAAGGACTTACAACATTGCATGAATGAAGCTGCTTTCAGTAACTGCAATGCTGAGGACTACATCAACATCGACAAATATGTGCAAACAGAACCAGACACAATGCATATTGATATATTAGTTGAGAATTTTAGAGAAAATCAAAAAGGAAGAGAGGAGGAGGAGGTAGAAGAGGAAAATGTCATTGTGCTAGAAGAAGAAAAGTGTAGAGTGAAGACTTATCAGGGTGCTGCCAGCAGTTTAAAGGTACTGCAGGAGTTTGCCATGCAATGGAATGATTCAGATATGCTTACTCTAATTTCTCAAGCTAAAGTGTTTGTGGAAAGTCAGGCAGCCAAGAGAGTAAACTGCATGCAAAAAACTCTGTTGGAGTTCTGGTAAAATTATAAAAAGTGAGTACCGCAATTTTTTCCTGCTCAGTGTAATGTTTGCATGTGTTCAATGATTATAGTGTGAATAAATTAATGGGCATGTTGTTTTGTTTTGTCTCATATACATTTATGTCCTGGTTTAGTTATTATAGTATACCTTGATTAAATGGAAAACTGGCTTCAGCGGAAACTTTTTCTGGTCCCATGAGATTCCATTTAAGACAGGTTTTACTGTATTACTAGTTTTTAAAATTTTACTTTCTTTTTGTCTGCATTTGTAACCAAGGTCCTATGAATATTATTTTCATTGCTATAGAATTAGCATACTAAATTAATACCCACAGAATCCTGGTTTCTAATTTGAACACTGACACGAGAAAAAATAATAATATAAAGGATAATTTTTCATATAACTACTACTAATGAGAGATGAATATTTCTCAAATGCAAGTAGTATGCACATCTTTTCAATCACAGTGTTGATAAAACATTATATGCTAACCCTTACCCTCAATATCCCTTGGTCCTTTATTACATATGTCTCTCATTCTCTACCACCCACTTCCAATAAAAGCCAATTTGTGCTCTCAAGCAAATAGGAAATCATGAGCAGTTCATATGGCCCTAAATCGATGCTTTACCAAGGATATTCAGCATCACATTAAAATCTATCAAAGTGTTCAGGAGCTGAAAGACCAAACATGTGAGGTGTTCGTAACATGTACTACATATTATAAGCGTGCGTAAGGAATAATTAAAAGGTGATAAAAACATAACTACTTAATAAAAAAAGTTAAAAGTATAAACAACAATTTGCAACCTACAATTTATAATTCCACTTAACAGTACACCCACATATAAATAAAGCAGCCCATCATCAAATTTAAAAATACTCTATTCTTCAAAAGGTACACCAAGGACAATACATTCAAATATCAATTATAATGACTTCTGGTTCTTTACAAAATCATGGAACTTCAAACCGTCTTATCTATTTATACCATAACAATAACACTTACAGCAAACAACTTTATAATTGTCTCCTTTATATTTCTGTCAAGGGCATCCTTATCCATATATGACCCAAGTCCAATCTCGCACATGTTATCAACTGTTGAACATAAAAGCTGTGATCGCCAGAACTTCTCTTCCAAAAGGCCTTTCTCTGTAGCTGTCTCACATATTGGCAACTGTAGCAGGAGCAGACCCAAACATTAGTATTTACCTTAAAAAATAAAAGTAAAAATTCATGGCATAAGGCACATTCCAAATTGAATTCATCAAGATGGTTATAAAAATCCTTTACTACTCCATCATCTTTAAAGAGTAGGAAGATCTTGAACTTGAGTAGAATGGGGCAAGAATGTAAATATTAATAAAAATATATTGGGCAGATGTTGCATAAATGTCAAAACAGACCTATAATATTAAAGACTCCTGTGGCACCTGCAACATAGGCAGTACACTAAGTTTCCCAAATGAATACCAAGAGAGAAGAAGCTTGAACAGTTTGCAGAAACCTACATAATAAAGAACTTAATAACTGATTTCCTGTATCCAATATTATGATAACTAAATTAAGGACGAGAAAGATATGTAGCATCCATGTTAGAAATGGAAATGTATGATGGGAAGTCATAATGTTTTAATTATCACCATGAGAAAATCATAATTCCAAAATATTGTTCTATATAGGAGATAGAACATTTCCTGAGCTTGCCAAACAGTCAAATTTTCCTGCACCAAGTGGACCGAGGGAGCCACTGGAAGGGACAGAAGCAAAATAGTGATGTTGGTTGAGAAAGTGGAGGCTTGTGCTGTGATAGGGTTCCTGCATTTGCAAGGGAAGTCTGCCAGGGAGAACCACGACCAGATGACTGCTGTGCATCAGGAAGGTGTATCATCATATGGCACAGTGGTCAGGTGGAAGAGGCGCTTTCACTGTGGGCAGATAAACCTCAAAGATGAACCCCGAAGTGGAAGACCATCTCTTGCTGAGGAACCGGGAATTGTGGCACAGGTGGAAGCTTTGATCCTATCCAATGGGTGCATAACTATAGACACTATTGCTCATGAGGTCTGCATTAGCCATGGGTTGGTTTTCAACATCATCCATGATGAGTTACACATGACAAAGGTCGCTGCATGTTGAGTGCCACCAGTTCAAAAACAGCAACAGATGAATGTGGCAAAAAATTTTGCAGTTGTGTTAAGATGAAAAGGTGGATTTTTTCAACCACCTGATCATGATGGATGAATGTTGGGTCTATCATTATGACCCTGAAACAAAGGAAATGAGGAAGCAGTGGAAAAATGCAGACTCGCTGCCACTAAAGAAGGTCAAATCCCAGCCAATGTCAGGTAAGATGATGTTGAGTGTGTTCTGGGATCGGCAGGGTGTAATCATGACTGAATACAAGCAATAGGTCATCACAATCTCTGGCGAGTACTACTGGAACCTTCTGAGAAAATTATTGGAGGAAATCAAGATAAAGCGATGTGGAATGCTGGGAAAAGGTGTGCGAAGTCTTCATGACAATACACCGGCTAATGCTATGATGATACTTGCTGCCAATTTGGGATATGAAATTCTCCCTCATCCACCGTATTCACCAGATATTCACTGAGTGACTTCTTCCTCTTTCCATGGCTAAACAAGCCATTTCGTGGTAAGCAATTCCAAGATGATGATGATGTCATTTCTGCAGTGGCAGATTTCCTAAACAGTCAAAATGAGACCTTCTATGATCAAGGTATCCAGCGGCTAATGCATTGTTGGGGAAAATGTGTGGCCTTGCAGGGGACATATGTAGAGTAGGGCTAACTCACATATAATTTCTTGCACTCGTGTCTCTGTTTCTTCTGGGTGATAATTAAAATGTTATGACTTCCCCATGTATATATAACACTACAAATATGTTACTTATCACATATATTCAAAGTAATAAATATTTAGTCCCAAACACCTTCTAAAGTAGCTTTGAATAGAGTTGAATCCTTTACCTGCAATGGAATCTCTGCAACTGCAGGACGAGGAATTGTGGGAGGATAATATGAGCCCTTGCAAAGAACACAGCGAACATTCTGGAAGTTCTCATTTATTCCAAGCACAAAATAATGATCTGATTTTCCTTTACACTGCAACAGTTGTTCAGGTCATAAACACATAAACCAATACAATCCCTTTCTGAACTGTGACATGCCTCTATATGCTATAAATGATCTAAAGTTAAAAATAAGAGAACATAAAAAAATACTAATCCTTCTTAGGATAGTTTTCAGAAGGACAAACAAACTAGCATGATTATGTGTTGTCTGATCATGTCCCTTAGAAATTTTTGCATCAACAGATTTTATAATACTTGATAAGGTCATATTTTCACCAATCTTACCAAAGTTTCCTTCTTTTGTGCATGGAAGAATATGTATCAATCAGCATCAAACATATAATCATAAAATTCTGTATGACAACTGCTTTGAAAATTTATGTTTTTGTGGCAGTGAAGATTCATGAAGAAAGCAGTCTTCTGGGATTTGGCACTGTGTATATGTGGTCTTAACCGACGTTTCGGAGGAACGTATCATAGTCTGTTTTTACCGGTTCTCACGGTCTCTTCGCTTGCAGATTTCTTATATTTTTTCTTCTACCCTGAAGATGGAGGCGATACGTTCCTCCGAAACGTCGGTTAACACCACATATACACGGTGCCAAATCCCAGAAGACTGCTTTCTTCATGATTCTTCACTGCCACAAAAACATAAATTTTCAAAGCANTTCATGTTGTAGGTTTTAGGGTTGCAACGATGTGTAGTCCAATAGGTTGGCACCAACATATTGCTTCGCTGGTATGAACATATCAGGTTTCATGCAGAAGTAAAAGTTAATAAGGATCCCTCTGTAGGGGCAAGCATATTTTCACAGAGAATACAAAGTTTCCTGTTTACAACTGGCAGAATATCTCAGTCTTTGGGATGGATAACCAAGGAAATGGGGTTCAATTCCTGGCAAAGAAGCATTCAGCTGCCCTCTGTGTCCTGCCCAGCCCCTTACCCAATGAACACCAGGTAATCTTTCCAGGGTACAAAGCTAGCCATCTAGTGCTAAGGTAAAGAATGTGTGGGGCTACACCTTCACTCCCCCATATATCTTCACGGTATGATGCTTTATGAAAATCACAGGGATTTCACCTTTTAAGTTATAAATGTGTAACTATATAGAATAAGGCATACATACATTAGTCTGAGTATCGCAAACAGGCAGCCAATAACCTTTCTTTGAAAACATACGAATCATTCCAGCTGAGTCTGATGTAAATGGTGTTCCCTCATCAGAAAAGCCTGCCCATTTCAGAGTTGATTTCGGAGTCAAGGAAAGGGGCTGAACAGTTGTAACAGCCTGAAGCTGACCTGGACCCACTGAAAACATGATGAACCCAAGATTCTGGTCACCTGGAAGACCTGCACAACAAAGTTAGGGAAATCTTAGTAAATGCAGCCACAAATATCTATGGTGCATTCAATTTAATATTACAGTATAACTGGCAAAAGTGAAGATGATGTGGCAGGTACATAATGCATCATTTACTTACTAGAACTACAGTCAAGGCTGTAACAATGTCCAACATCCAAATATAATGCTTTGTATGAAAATACAAATATTTGTATCATGTATTTCAGACTACCTACAGAAAATAGGACAAGTATTTAATCCAGTTTAACATTAAGATATGGTCTTCTGGGATGTGATGCTACGTAGTTTGGTAGACATGTTGCAGAAGAACTGGTTACCTTTATCTTAATGGTAGAAGACTTATAAAACAGAGGCAACAGGCTTCCCAGAATGCTGGCAAATATCTAGCAAAGTACACAATGCCACATCCAAGAAGACCATAATCTTAACACTTTGCGGACCGGCAATTTAAATATTTAAATCACCCTGCGGACCGGCATTTCTATACCTACTACCCTAACTTGTGCACTGTTCACTTTAAAATTTAATATAAAATCTCCTAATTAATTTTATGAACTAAAATTTTTTGAGAACACTTACCAATGCTTCTAGAAGTGCCTGAGGGTGTGATATTTCTCAAAACAGTCCCTTCTGTGAAGTGGCATTACACAAAACTAGCAAATGTAGGCAGTCCTACTCCTTTTCTTGTGAACTGCGCAAACACGGCATTGCCTAGAAGGCTGCTTCCCTTTGAAATGTTCACTCTTCACAATTTTCGTGAGGGTATGTTTCCGCATATCACCCGAGTCACCCAGGGGGGGTCAAAATGAGGCCTGCGTTGGGTGGGAGTAGACAGCCCCGGTTGTACTAAGACTGTGTCTGTCTGAAATTTCTGAACGAAAAAGTTCAATAAGGGCTGAATTTTGAAAAGCCTGCTTGTTGATTGTGGTTGCACTTCATTATCACTGAAACGCAAACACCACCAAATTTGCTCAAATCTCTTATGGCTCATTAGTTTGCCGAAAATTGGAGTTTCTAAAAATGGATCTGTTACCAATACTCTTTCAGATTATCCCTCCTTGTATGGCCCATTAGAAATATAATTGCAAAAAATTTTCTTATTTCTGCTGAAATGACATCCACCCACTTCAACGCCTTATAACTTCTGTCATAATGTTCACGGTGTTGGAGATAGTATCTGTTAGTTTCTGACATAGCATGTCAAAGAAACTATCTCCAAAAAACAGTTCCGCCACTTCAGACACTTGCGTTGGGTCCAATGGAATTTGCTTCACCCCTGGATTTCCAGTAAACTGTCCCAAAGCAGGCGTCTTGTCTACTTTTCCCCATGTGGCTGTCCCCGCAATGTTGCTACCCGCACATTCGTCGGAGGTACGGTTACTTTCACTTTCACTGTCTGTGGTCACAATTTTTTGTTCGCCCTTGCCACACACACTATCAGATTGTGAGTCGCTATCACTAGCAGACTCACAAGGGACGTCAGATAGCTCATCAGAGAAGAAGTCAGATATTTCTTGTTCTCCAAGAAATCGCTTGGGTGTCAACCGCTTTGGTCTTTGATCCATACTGAACTACTGACTGACAGCTTGCTACGTAAAGCTTGAAGAAATAAAGGCATTTATTTTCCTTTGCAGGGGCATAGAGTTACAGCGAGGTCTAGTAACTGATTGGTCAGCAGACATTCCAGAGCCTTATAACACAGCTGCAAGCAGCTACGTGCTAGCTAGGTGGAGCCAGAGAGATGTATAGTGTGTTGCAACTTATTGTGTTTTAAAAACCTGTTAACACGCGAACGGTCCACCATGTTTAAAAGCGAAAAACCTTTTAAAGGGTGCGCAGTCCTCAAAGTGTTAACAGAGTAAAACTGCTATATAGATATTACAACCTATTCTTATAAGCCATGGGATTCATTATAGCAACTAAAACCCACTGGAACATCAATCTCAAACTTACATACACAGAAAAGCACTGCACAAAATGAACCACCCCCACATTTTTGTCGTGTGATTCCTAACTAGCCACCACTCTTCATCTTTGAAAATTCCACAATTGCACCTATAGTTTTCTTCCAAAGTTATTTGTAGCTAGGAGACCATAATGGTCCCATTACCCAATCCTCTCTGCCATACCCTCATCTAGAAGGAAGGTCACATTCTGGAATCTCTGAGCTGCTGATGCCCATCTGTGAACTTGGCCCTCACTTACTTAACTATAGATAGGACGGTGAGAAGGAAGGAAAAGTACTAGTGAGGATGCAGTGTGTTGAATGAATGAATGAATGAATGAATGAATGAATGAATGAATGTATAAGGGGTGGGCCTTCTCAGCCCTTGCACCACGACCTACAGTGGTCTATTGTGCTTCCCCTTTTGATTATCCCTTCAGCAATCCCGCGCTTCAAATGAAGCACACGATTTTGTACGTGGGGGCGTTGAAAGTCACTTGGTTCCATGAAGTATTGACCCAAGTGTCGTAATCTTAAATAAGCAAAGGCCTCACATTCACATAGGATATGTGTGGCTGTTTCATTTTCTCCTTGACACCTCTCAAGAGGTGTTTGTTCCTGTCTTTATATGCCCTGGTTGTGAGGAGTGGGGAGAGATGGGGGGGGGTATAGTGTTATGTTGTGTAATTTTGTATAGTATTTCAAATATAGGGTTGTGTGCATCTGCACTAGTAAAGACAACACCACAGGCTGTGGAGGAAACACACAAACCAGGGGCATGTGAGTACAAAGTAAACAAACATAACATAATAATAACACCACCAAACAAATAGAAAACAACATTAATCTAGGGACCTTATAAATTACAGATGACAGTGATAACTGAAAAGTAGGCTATGAACATGAGGGGCAAGCTGCTGAAACAAAACACCCTGGACAGGCATACATTTATGAACAATGGACGACACCCCGTGTGAGGTGAAATAATATGCACCAAAATAACGTGGGCATAATGGAAACTTTAAAGGATTTTTGCCTTGAAAAGAGGACTACAACATGTGAACTAAGACAGTGTAGCATTTTAACATACTGTATTTACGCGTGTATAGGCCGCACATTTTTTGCCAAAAATTCAAGAGGAAAACTGGGGTGCGGCTTATATTCGAAATATTCGAAATCACACTTCATTTAAAAAAAATTATATTCATAATTATTTCGGAATAATTTCTACTCCTAAAATAATATTCCAAGAAAATTATTTTTTCTATAATTTCTGTCTGAAAATTGTGCTGCGGCCTATACACACACGCGGCCTATACATGCGTAAATATGTTAATTTAATAAAATATTTGTATCATATCAAGACACCTGAAGATGGCCGTTTGAGGCTGAAACATGTAGTGTCAAAGTGTATAATCTATATAAATAAAAATGTAAATGTTCGTTTGTTGAGGATCCTAAATCTCCGAAAGTTCTTCACCGATTGCTTCGAAATTTTGACACAACGTTGCATTTGAATGCGCACGTTTTTATATACCTATTATATAGATGTCACACCTGTGACAGGTAAAAACATGCTTCTTTTGAAAAACAGAATTGGAATTTGGAATTCAGAAGCGTCACCCCTATGGAAACGCTAGAACAGACCGTTGCATAGGAAGTAACAATAGCGATATTGTATCGAATCTCCATGGTTATGACGAATACATGGAGCGTTCCCACAGAGACAACGCAATAATAATGTGTTGTTGCGCAGGAATTGCCGAATCATCAAGGCAGCATTTCTGTGGTTATGACAAAGGCTCATTTGCATAGCAGCGGCCGAGGGTATAAAAGGGGGTTGAATTCATTTGCCCAGTCAGTCTTGGAACAGCTGCCGTTGAAGAAGGTTGGAACCTAGACGCCAAGAGATACNTGATGCGTGCAACACGTCACATCCACATCAAATTCATGCATTGTTTGCAATCATACTGACCGCCTGCTCTCCTTCATCTCCAACAGAATTATGGGAGAAATATAAATCGCACATGGCTGAAGATATTTTCCGTCGAATACGCAAGGAAAATTCCAATATGAACATGGATTTCACAGTAGAAATCTGCAACGAAGCGTTGATAACGATTGAAGATTTGTGCTTAGAAATCGCGAACAAAGTTGTCAATCAATTGGGAATGCCACCACCGAATCGATCTGCTGCTGCTTCGTTCAATGTAGAATTGCATCATGAACAAATTACAACATGGGTGATCTTTTGTCATATGTGCAATCAAATATTCCTAAGCTAATGCTTGAGCAAAAAGGCCTTTATGATCAAATAATGCAAACTGTCAATAATGGGGTTGCCCAAATCTTCTTCTTAGATGTGCCAGGAGGAACTGGTAAAACGTTCCTAATTTGATTGAATCTGGCAGCAATTGCATCCCAAAATGACATAGCCTTAGCTCTTGCGTCGTCCGGAATAGCTGCGACATTGCTACCGGTTGAAGAACTGCTCATTCCGCTTTGAAATTGCCATTGAACATGCAATTCACTGAAACTCCCACGTGCAACATTTCCAAAGCATCAGGCATGGGAAAGGTATTGCAGAAATGCAAACTTATTGTTTGGGATGAATGTACAATGGTGCACAAAAAATCACTCGAGGCTCTTTATCAATCATTGCAAGATTTGCGTGGAAACATCAGATCATTTGGGAACGCATTAATATTGCTTGCAGGAGATTTCAGGCAAACATTACCTGTAATTCCTCGATCAACACCAGTGGACGAAATAAATGCTTGCCTGAGATACTCTACTTTGTGGCGACATGTAAAGACGTTAAAATTAACTACAAATATGCGTGTCCAGCTGCAAAATGACCGATCAGCTGAGATATTCTCACATCAATTGCTGGAAATTGGGAACGGAAAGGTGCTGCTTGATCTAACCTCAGGACGAATTTCGTTGCCTTGTAACTTCTGCAATGTAGTGACGTCAAAAGAATTGGCTGAAGAAGTACAGTAAAACTTGGCTATAGCAACATCGGTTTCTGCGACACCTTGTCTATTGCGTCAAATATTCAATGGTACGAAATAATTCCTCATAAAGCAACTGTTTTTATACCTTGCTTAGTACGACATGCACAAATGCATCAACCTCGTATGTAACGTCATTTTCATTCCTGAATTTCTCTGATATCGTGGGAAAGTTCGATGTGTCTGCCCACCCTCACTTTCTCTACTTGCTGACGTGACTGTCCTGGAAGAATACGACCGCGGGCTGCAAGAGAAGCGTGGGTTTTATGCGAAAACAAGGGTGTGGGGTGGGACTGCGTGAATAGTGAAAGAGGACGCGGCAGGTTGTTAACTGCATTCCTTTCCTAGAATCTCGTCTAACAGGACCTCACATTGTCTACTTACCCTATAGTGTTCCTGCCTAAACCCAGAGAAGTGCAGTAGCGAAAACATGGCAATGAAAAGGAAAGTTTTAAGCATTGAAGAGAAAGTTAAAGTGATTCGTGAAATAGAAAATGGAAGGAAAAAAGCTGATGTATTACACATTTGGGCAATTCCACGTTAATGTTACGTTAGTCTGTACTTAACCACGTATTTCACAAAAAATGCTACATTTTAACTCGGTTTTTGGTAGATTTTTACGTGACTAACATAAGGCTACTGTGGAAGTGCCCATTTCGGTTACAACATTCATTTATAACGACACTATTTTTAGGTCCCTTTGATGACGTTATAACCAAGTTCTACTGTATTTCCCAATATTCAAACGAATTATAAGAACCACGATTGGCTCAGTGAATGAGCTATTCTTGCGGCCAAGAACAAAGACATCTGCGAACTTAACAATATCATTCAGTCTAACATTCACTGCGAGGCAGTCACATACAAGTCCGTCGACACTGCTGTGGAAGCAGATGAAGCGGTTAATTATCCAACAAATTTTTTTAATTCACCTGACCTGCCACAGCGTGTGGCCAGGTACAGCTAGTGTTAAACTAAAATTAAAATTAAATAGTGAATAAAAAGTGTCGCAATACTGACAGACGCTAAATAATGGACATTAAATACCTTTACTTACTTTTTACTACAACAGATAGAAACCTGATTTGTGAGAAAATTAAGAGGAGATTGTACTCAGGTACAATATCATTCAGTCCAGAACATTTTGTCTCCTCGTCTGCTGTCCAAAAACATAAAAATTAGAGTATACAAAACTACAAATAATTTTGCCTGTGGTTCTGTATGGGTGTGAAATTTGGTCTCTGACATTATGAGAGGAACTTAGGAATGATATACAGTGTTACTGTGTGGAAGCACTGATGGTTCAAATAAAATTAAACCATTTGTTATTTGGAAGTCACAGCAGCCTTGCTGCTTCAAGGGCAACAAAATTCTTCCATTAAGACAGTTGTCTTCTGGGTTTAGGCACCGTGTATTCTTCGTTTTGGCCGACGTTTCGGAGGAACGTAGNATTCTTCCATGTCCACATATATTGAACTGAAAAGCGTGGATGTTATCCGAGGTGTTCATTCAATGGCTGAAGGCTTTTGATATAAAAATGGGGATCCACAACAGAAAGGTTACTATGTTCAATAACCAGTGCTCTGCACATCCTTCAGTGGAGCTCTGGGAATACCGAATTACTATTTTTTCTAGCATGTTATAACCATTAGACAATGGGGTGTTTAAGTCTCTAAAACATAATTTCACGGGGATGCTCACAAATGCAATTATAAGATGAAAAGCAGATAACACCATGCTACCAAAACAGAAATGATATAGATTCCATTATTTTGTATGTGCTGTGTTTTTTTTTTATTTCAGAACCGAACCATATATGAATTACAGCTTCAATCTCGAGGATTAAAAAATGTATTCTTTTCATAAACTGATTCATCCTCTCTAATACCAAATGGTAGCTGTCAGAACTGAACATGAATGTTTAGAAATTAATGACTGCATGGTAAATTCCAAAGATGGTGATTCTCCATTACTGGTAAATCATAATTTTATAACGTGATTCTTCTTTACAAAAGGCTATCACCAGTGAGAGGTACTAACATACTCTTAATGATACACAACAGAATGGAATCAATAAAGATGTCACCAATGATTCAGATCTTCACAGTCCATTCTATCTGGGGGTCCATTCAGTTTTATATTCTGATATACTTGGACCATAGATAATATGGACTGACAAAGTGGATTGGATTAAAATGGCCTAAGGTCTGAAAATAATGAAGAACTTCCAGTTTCCATTAAAGAAGGGAATTTCTCAAATAGCCAGTTAATACTTACTAATTTCCAACAACAGACATGTACCATATAGCTAGTTGATCAATTAGTTATATATTTAATTTCCTATTACCTTTATTTGTTATTGTGTACTTGGTAGCTTCCTCTCTATCCTTCAATAAGCAGTTCTCTCGTATTTCTGTCCAAACATTCCCTGCTCTGATTTGTGTACCTTCTAGGTCCCTGCCTTATGTCCACGTAGGTGAAACAATGTTGAATACATTTCCTGTGTTTATAAATTATTTTAGGAATTACCTATTTGATGGATAAATTGAGTCTGAGTTCTCTCTATGTGTGTGCATGTGTGCCATACATTTGTCAACTCTCCTATATTTATTACATTTGTCAATAAATGCGCTCTAAGTTTAGAGTCTTCTTGGATATGCCATGTAGTTTGGTAAAAGGGTATTAACATTTCTTCATACTGTTCTACAATGAAGATGATGACAGCACATTTCTCCAAAACATTTGTTAACTGTCTACAAAACCATATGTAATCACAACCCATAAGACCATAAGTCTTATAAGTCACCATTCTGAGAACCTCAAACCTCATAAATCAGCCCTAGATATTTAACACTCACCCATGCCATTGTGGAAAATAGCCAGCAGCCTATTTCTAGACCCAGCAACACACACTACAGGACCTGGCAGAGAGACCACTTCTCGCTGAGTGCCTGCAACAGTGAACAGCCGCAGGTTCCTGGTGTCGGTAGAAACAGCAAGCCAACCCTTACCAGCTGCAATTGCTAGGGCCTCTTCTCCTTCAGGAAGGTCTACACTCCATTCTTTGCTGCCGTCCCATGAATTCAGTAGCACACACACCACTCTGCTGCAAAAGAAATGACTATATGAAAGATATTGTCACGTGCTGGGTGTATAATGTGACAAATAACTTCACGCCTTACTGGATATAGGGAATTTTATTTCACATTCGCTCTTACAATCTGACAATTACTGCCATCGACAGTATCACAAATACTAGACTGCAAATGCTAGAGTACAACTGAAAGGTTGACTGCCTGGCTAACTCGTAACTATTTCATAAACTCGAGAACCGCTGCCTTGAGAATTTGAGAACTAACTCGTGAACTCGTAACTCGAGAACTTGAGAACTGTAACTCGTGAACGCATAACTGAGAACTGTAACTCGTGAATTCGTCAACTGAGAACTGGCTGCGAATAGTCTTCGCTGCTCCTTATTTAGCCTCATTCCGGACAACACAGAGAACAGCCACGTAATAGGCACCACTGTTGCCTGGCGCCGTGGTACTAGCAACACTGTCGGGAGTTGTTTCCTGCTGTGTAGCAACAGCGGAATCCCGTGTTACGTCACCGCGGGGAGAGGCAGGGTGTTGACTGGCTTATTACCATAGCAACGGCAATGCTCCGAAAGTGTTACGTCACCGCTGGCGGGGTGAGGGGTTGTCCTCCATTGCTCAACACGTCATAATATGTTAAAAAACTGCTCGCAGAATATCCTACATGATACATGCTTCTCCCTGCCCCCATAAATTAATTACTTCATAATGTACACTGTACAACTTATAGAAAAAATGTGGGATATTGAAAACTTCTACACTCTGTGACCAGCCAAGTGTTAGGTCAGATATAAAGGTCTGAACATAAAGATGGAGTGCGTGATAATGTATTGTGTAGTTTGGGCTATATACACCTCAAGGGATCGTGGTAGATGTGGAGCAATCTATATAAATAAAAATGTAAATGTTCATTTGTACAAATTCTTAAATCCCTGAAAGTTCTTCACCGATGGTTTGAAATTCTGATACGTTGCACTCGAATACGCGCGTTTTTATATACCTATTATATAGACGTCACACCTGTGACAGGTTGATTGGTTCTTAAAATATTAATTGTACTCAATATTAATATACTGTAACGTGTTATATGTCGTCCATTGCTGCGCAATGGCTACAATTGAAATTGTTGAGTTCCCACAGCAACAAATCGAATACCAACAGATCGTTGCCTAGGAATAACCGTGGCAACGAACTGTTGAAACAGTGGAAATAATGCATTTCTGCGGCAACGAGCACAGAACACGTGAAATCGAACCCTGGGTGAAAGTGCCCTCTATTACATCTGAAACCAGGTTATAATAGTCCAGCTCCGAAGAGTTTTTCGGTGATACTGGACGTGATAATAATTGTACTCGGTGGTGTAAAAGTGAGCGTTCAATAACTTATTCGCTGAATCCGACATGTATGTGGAAGTTATCTGTCACACTGAATAGGAGACACATGACCACAACAACGTTACATATGTAACACACGACATATTCTTATTATCAAAGTACACGTAGATAATGCAACAATTTAAGAATATGTTACTCACTAAAAATGTATTTTAATACTTTATGATGTTAAAATCATTAAAAATGTCAATCTATCTTCTATATAAATAAAAATGTAAATGTTCGTTTGTTCAAATTCTTAAATCTTTGAAAATTCTTCACCGATTGCTTTGAAATTTTGACACAACGTAAATGTAAATGTTCGTTTGTTCAAATTCTTAAATCCCCGAAAGTTCTTCACCGATTGCTTTGAAATTTTGATACAACGTTGGATTCGAATACACACATTTTTATATACCTATTATATAGATGTCACCCCTGTGACAGGTAACAACATGCTTCTTTTGAAAAACAGCGCCATCTGTTGGACGTAAAAGCAACACATGCTATACTAAATATTTTACGATTCCATTTCAATGTTTCCGACTGCATTGTTAAATTGGATTTTCATAGATTTCGATTTATTTTAATTTTTATTTTATTATTTCGTGTGACATTGCGTTGGAATTGAGCTGTGTCGTTTATCATAGCGTTCATTTCGTGAGTATAGTTTTTTTCTTCTTTCATTCGTTTCCATTTCATTTTCTTAACTGTTTTCCTTATTTTTCAGTTCAATTGGCGGTGGAATTGAGCTGTGTCGATTGATCTGCGTTTGAATTGAAATATTTCGTTAGTTTTTTTTGTTTCTTCTTTGTTTTCCAGTTTGTGTTCTTTCCTTTTTTAATGTTTTGCAATTTTATATGTTTTTGTTATAAGCAATCGATCTGCTTTAGTTCATCCAAATAATGCCTCGCCGAGGCATTATTGCCGAGGAAGCAGCAGAGCGATGTGCAGCCAGACTTGAGGATGCANGATTCGAATACACACATTTTTATATACCTATTATATAGATGTCACCCCTGTGACAGGTAACAACATGCTTCTTTTGAAAAACAGCGCCATCTGTTGGACGTAAAAGCAACACATGCTATACTAAATATTTTACGATTCCATTTCAATGTTTCCGACTGCATTGTTAAATTGGATTTTCATAGATTTCGATTTATTTTAATTTTTATTTTATTATTTCGTGTGACATTGCGTTGGAATTGAGCTGTGTCGTTTATCATAGCGTTCATTTCGTGAGTATAGTTTTTTTCTTCTTTCATTCTTTTTCATTTCGTTTTCTTAACTGTTTTCCTTATTTTTCAGTTCAATTGGCGGTGGAATTGAGCTGTGTCGATTGATCTGCGTTTGAATTGAAATATTTCGTTAGTTTTTTTTGTTTCTTCTTTGTTTTCCAGTTTGTGTTCTTTCCTTTTTTAATGTTTTGCAATTTTATATGTTTTTGTTATAAGCAATCGATCTGCTTTAGTTCATCCAAATAATGCCTCGCCGAGGCATTATTGCCGAGGAAGCAGCAGAGCGATGTGCAGCCAGACTTGAGGATGCATGGTTGTGAGCATGGCGATCGCATTCTGCAGCTTCAGATTTGCTTTGTTCTCAACAGAATGAATGCAACAGGCTGAGAGTGGCTGAAAGACATCGAGAAACAGCAGATCAGTGTCAAACACGACTCCATGCTCAGCAATCACGTGATTACAATCGCCTTGCATTCCGGTACAGCCCAGCTGAAGATTATAGTTTGAGCCAGCATGTTCTCATCGGCACTATGACTGAAATGTGTCCTTATTGCAAGGCTCTGAAATTTAATGGAGAAACGAAAGTAATTGGCGTTTGCAATCACCATCAACAAAGCTCAGGGCCAATCTTTAGTATTGTGTTGTTTAGATCTAGACACGGGTTGCTTCTCACATGGACAATTATATGCTGCGTGTTCTAGAGTCGACAAACCAGACAATCGCTATATCTGCACAGACAATGGAACAACAAAAAATATTGTATACCCACAAGCACTGTGAAATTAAACATATTAGAAACGTGCGCTTTCTCTTTTNTAGATTATTAGATTATTATTAGATTATTTTACACACGTTAATTTTGACGTTCCTGTAGTAGCACTATAAAATCTTTAGTTCTNAATCTCTATATCTGCACAGACAATGGAACAACAAAAAATACTGTATACAGACAAGCATTGTGAAATTAAACATATTAGAGACATGAGCTTTCTCTTTTCTTTCTTTTCCATTTAACCAGACTGAGCCACAGCAACGCGTGGCCGGGTACAGCTAGTAGTGAAATAATAATTAAAAGGGGAAAACCTGAACTGATACTACTCCTGTCTTCACCCTACCACCACCAAGTGTCGGTGAAGTCGGGAGTGGTTCGTCGTCGCTGGCCCTCGCGTCGTGTTTACAATGCTCCCTAAGATCGTCTTGGGAAACCAAGCTCACAGCGGAGAATCATTATTGAAGTCAATGACAGACCCACAATTAACAATAACAATGTTTAATAAACACAAAAATAAGTTATGACAAAAATACACAAAAAATATATATACAGATAGAATAAACCTGGCTGAGTTTCTCCACCCTACATTAATCCGAACCTCGTGGCATCAGCTCAACAACCTGCCCAGTTTCACTGGCCCAGTGGCATTTGAATACAAGTCCCTTCCTTCCTAGCCACATGCGGCATCAAAACAAATACACAGAACAACTAAACTGAACTGGTCCACCACAGGCGGCAATCAAGAAATTACATGTATACATAATACAGGCTAAGCAAACCTCAGTCACAGGTGGCCTCAAGAAAATAATATATATATTTATATAAAAAAAAACTAACTCTCGTATCACTGCCATGCCATCCCTCCAATAGCTGGTGACTGTAAACCCCCAACGTCTGTGGCCAGACCCAGAGTATGCTGAAACACAATTTTGGACAATACCCCTCTGAACTGAAATTTAGAAAATATCCCTGGCTGGTCCGCCAGATGTGCTTACCCAAGTGCATCCACTTATCAGACTAAAACCTCGCTCTCCAACATACTTCTTCCCGAGACACAGGGGTAGAAAGGAAGGGGAAATCACGTGGTCTTTGGGAGAGAAGGAGGGGGTGAGCTTAGGATTGTGAAAGAAAGGGTAGCGCGGAAAATATGGCTGGAAGTCATGACGTCACTCATTACGCGAGCCAGTCCATACTTGGCTCAAACCAAAGAAACTTAAAAACCTGCTCCAGTGCCACTTCATCCACATGAACCTTACATGAAGCTATCTGGGATTGAACCAGAGTAGCTGTGGTGAGAAGCAAGCATCTAATTGTATCAGCTATTGCATGGCTAGTGGAATATTATAATTAAAGAACATGTAACAACGTTGTCAGTGGCTCAGACTATATAGCACAGGGGTCTCCCAACTTTTCGAAACGCGGGCCACATTAGGTAATTCAGCACTTTCAATGGGCCAGATAAAATGAGAAATTAATAACTCTAGGTATATGAGTTTTATTGAAGGCACAGAATTTCATAAACTAAATACAAAGTATGTGAGAATAAATTATCGTATATTAATGACAACAGACAGCAGCAGCAAATGCTCATATTTTCATCACAAATTATAATAAATTATAATTATAAATTATGAATTATGGAACTCTTTTTGCATTCTTAAAATCTGATTAAATTGAGGTGATGATGTGTTACAATTACACTGCATCACTGCAAGAAGTCTTGTGCACAAGATGGCTAGTAACGAACTGCTCGCGCTACCTACATTGCCACGAAGTGACACTGCTGATCGAGGACAAAAAAGTATGAAGAAATACCATGCAGTATACGGTCCAGAATTAGTAAAATTGTGAATAATATTAATATTAACATAATATGGAATATCAATATATTTTAAACACAATCTTAATTAATGAATGTGAACTCTATGAACAAGTATTTTTTTTACCAGTACTCATTGGAAAATTAGTTCAATTGGCGCATTTCTGCACAATTCTTTCGCGGGCCGGATAAAATCACCTCGCAGGCCAGATGTGGCCTGGGGGCTGTAGTTTGGAGACCCTTGATATAGCATAAAACAGCAGGATGATTAGCAAATGATAAATTGGAAAGCATGTTGAAGGAAACAATGGCTTATGGTATTCTAATGGCACTTGCCAAGGTGCTGAGGAAACCATGAAAATTCTGTCACGAAACACACTCTCTGGGAAATTTTGAACCCAGGACCTCCCAAATACAAAGCAGGAGTGATATCCACTCAAACATGACATTCAATATGATCTTTGAAATAATGTGTAAACATAGCAAAAATACAAATGCCGTCGTGAATGCAACAATTTATTTGGTTGTAGTTCTTTGTGTTTTCTTCCTCTACAATACATGTTTTGGCTGTAATTGGCCATCATCAGGTGTATTTTTCACTACGTAGCTGTCACACTCCACACAGTCCAAAATCTAAAACATCAGCCTGTCAGTTTTGTTGTAAAATCTCACCAACATACGCTCCTCAATTTGATTTTAGAATTACAGTTTAAAATTTAAAGTTTTAACCTTTAACGGCCAAATGTTATAATAATTGGCAGCAAGTAGCAAGCCAGCTGGCTGAATGTTATAATTTTTAGAGGCAAGCCAGGTGCTTCCTTTGTGAGTTTGACCTTGGGTTTGAAACCCAAACAAACTCATGAAGTTCATGTCAGATGTTTATTTGTTAGCTCTGAACAATGAAATCGTTTATCAGGGTACTGGTTTCAAAACTATTTACGTTTAGATATGACTGTTTATGACCTGGTGATCCAATAGAAGTCAGCTTTGTTTTGAGAACTTAGAGGAGGAAATATTTGTGGGCGCTTGCACATCAGTGCTACCAGAGCTTTCAAGGAAGTGTTACGCATTCAGGGATTGGTTTGCAGTGCTGTTTTCTCAGTTAGGGCATCAGTGTCAGACTCCTACATTTCTTTGTATACCATTTTTATTGTGTATCTCAGAAGAGGTATAAACCCACTGAGCCAGTGTTACTTTGTGCATAAAGACATCTTCATCACTGTGACTTTCGGTATCAGTGGCGGACTGACACTTTTCAACTGCTATTGCAATTATTTTGCATCACAATTTTGTGAGTGTTCCTAACAGTCTTGCTTTTTCCATCATCGTAAATTATAGGATTTAGCTGGAAGCCCCCTCCCCCAAGATGGAACCTCAAAAACGAGCCCGATACTCAAAACTCCTCAATGCTGAAGAACTGGAGGAAATATTGATGGAAGATGAATCTGATGAAGAGTTGGAAGAACTCGATGAGGTCATTGAACCTCGCGAACATATGTCATCATCATCATCATCATCCTCCTCAAGTAATGAAGCAGGGGAAATAGAGATCAGGTTTCGCAATAGAAGACCTGGGGATTCGCCAAAGCTACTAGATTTCACTGGTCCTCCGAGTGGAATCAACAGATCCGCTGCTCCCAATATAAATGCTCAGTCCTCTCCCTTTTCCATTTTCATTCTCTTTTTCCATCATATATTCCAGATCTTGGTACAAGAAACAAACAGATATCTTCATAAATTTTTGGCAAGCCAAGATGCTCCAGGCCCTTCTGCTCAACCGCCTGGCGTCACAATTGAAGAAATGTCAAAATTTTTGGCCATAATAATTCAAATGGGCCACGATCAGCTAGACACCCTAAAAGATTATTGGTCAAGAGATGAGCAGTACTACACTCCATTCTATCATAACACCACGGTACGCGACCGTTTCTTCCATATTTTGAGATTCCTGCATTTTGAGAATAATGAAGCTCCTCCAAATCGAGATGACCCAGAGTACGATAGGCTCTGGAAGATTAGAAAAATTTTCAACAATCTTAACAGCAAATTTTGTGAACTTTACAATCCATCGGAACATCTTGCTGTTGATGAAGTGATAGTGCTCTTCAAAGGAAGAGTGGTTTTTCAGCAGTATATTCCAAAGAAACACAAAAGATTTGGAATACAAATTTACAAGCTTTGCGTTTCTCTGGGCTATACATATGATACGACTGTTTATTTGGGGAAACAAAGGCAACTTGCAACCAAAGCAATTACACCAACCCATGGCATTGTTCTCCAGCTAATTCGAAGAGTAGAAGGCTCAGGACACAAACTTTATATGGACAGCTATTTCAGTTCCCCTGCATTGTATGACGATCTTCTAGAGCGTAAAATAAATACGTGTGGCACCGTTCACAATGACAGGCATGGAATGCCACAAGAAATTCAGCCCAAATCGATGAAATTGAAAAAGGGGGATATTGTGACAAGAGTGAAGGGGAATCTAAGTGTTGTTCGTTGGAAGGACAAGCGTGATGTGTATGTTCTGACGAATATGCACCCTCCTCCATTGGATGGCAACTTCTGAGATGAATCTGGCTGTGCTATCAAACCTCATGTAATTGAAGACTACAATGCACACATGGGCTTTGTGGATAAATCTGAGAGGATGGTAAACAGCTATGGCATTGCTTGGAGAACATGGAAATGGACGAAGAAATTATTCTTCCACCTCCTAGACATGACTATTCTCAATGGATATCTGTTACACAAGTCATGTGATGGAAAAATGATGCACAAAAAGTTCCGCAAAATTTTGGTGCGTGATTTGATTCTTCAGTCACATGAGGCGAATATCACAGTCAGTGGCATTTCTCGGGGGAGGCCAAGTTCATCTGGGGCGCAAGTGAGTCGACTGGAGGTGAAACATTAAAAACACTAGCCAGCTAAAGGGAAACAAAGACGCTGTTGCGTTTGTTCTATAAACAAGAAAAGCAGGAGCACGTTTTTCTGCTGTAAAAAGTGTGATGTTGCACTGTGTGTGGTGGACTTTTTCGAGAAATGGCACACGCGCATCAGAGTGTAAACTGTGAAGTGACGCAGTCCAAACCATGTACAGTCTGAACCAAATATTACTGTACATAGTGTCATCATATTTACATCACCACCATGATTCAAGGTTGAAGAAAAACAACGGGTAAGTCCTTTAGAAATTCATAACTTATATAATAACGATTATATTTTGCATTTCATGACAAAATAATCACACTTAATTTTCATTTGTAAAACTTGCCCTTTTGTGTATATGTAGAAAATTTTATTGTCTTTGAGGTTCTTTTTAGTTCATATTCCCATGTTGCACAGAACGGAAAATATGCATTTTTTTCTGAAAGTTTGCAATGTTAAAGAATTAGGGCCATTTCAATTCTGGCCGTAGGGAGCTGCCGGCAATTTAAAAGTCCGTACGTTAAAGGTTAAATACTAGGGACACTTGCTCTTGTCTACATGTGCTGCAGCGGCTATTTCTTGTTTTCAGCACCGTTCATGTATTATCTGTAATACACAAATATTCTTATTACTGTCCTATGTTCCTACATTATTCTTATGTGCAGTGTGACAGCTACATAGTGAAAAATACACCTGATGATGGCCAATTATGGCCGAAACATGTAGTGTAGAGGAAGAAAAGACAAAGATCTACAACCAAATAAATTGTTGCATTTATGACGGCATTTGTATTATTACATATAGAAGTGCATAGTGCAACAGGATGCTTAAATATAATATAATAGCAAAAATCTTTATATACCTATATTCTGCCCAGTGATCTAGGATACGGTAAACATGTCATCACCAATGATCATTTTCTTAACACTATGGATATGTCAATGCTGTTCTATTTAAGGAAACTTCACAGATATACCTTGGAGCCTCATCCTGAATCTCACATGCCAAGACTAAAACTTCATCTGTCAATGTTGCCATAGTGTGTTTCAGAAAGTTATTTATATGCAGGGCATGATGCAAAGATGTGTCATGGAATTCCACATCAATGGAGTTCTCATCTTCAGTATTGTAACAACGTACAACGCCAATAGAATTCCACACCTGTTAACCAGAACAATTAAAGTTACAGTTCCTTACTGAACACTCATTCATCATATTGCATGACTGCAGACTACCTTTACTTTCAGAGATGGTACTGGAAGCAAGAAATGTGTATGGGCAAGGGAAACCTGCTTGAATTGTTTAATTCTCATATCAATGAATTGCCCACTTGGAAATGTGTCTTGGCAATATCAGAACCTTACATACTTTTGTATGATAAACTTCAAGATTAAGGCAAAGTTTGGGTGTCTGAAGATCCATACTAAAGAATTAGCCCTCTCTTCATTACATTTCTCAATAGGCATCTCACGCTTCTGCTGCCGCTATTTCAAGCACTGACATACATTACTGACTAAACTTTTTTTACAGTACACTTAAACCACTAGCATTCTCTCATTCTATCAATTTTGACTGGGGGGAGGGAATTTACCACGTCTTCAATTTACATTCTTTGAAGAGGTGTGAATACACATGAGCATACAACATAAGTCTTTCAGAGTTTGGTGTTCAAAAATAACAAATTGGAAATGAATATATTTGAGGTTAGCCCTGTGGATACTGCAGACAGGCATGAGTATATTTTGGATTGGAACTGAAAAGGTTAACTTACAGAAGATTTCACTTTTTACTATGTCAGAAGAAATATTCTACTATGTTAGGAGAAGCAAAAGTTAAAAAAACCTTATTCTTGATGCCTCTCTTAATTCTTATTTTGCATTTAATTTGTATTGTAAATATATCCATTTAAGGTCCTCACCATGAACCTGTGCTGTAGGTGGGCAGGTGTTGATGAAGGCTGGAAAGGGGGCTGAAGATCATATGTTGGAGCAATTCTGGCAAGAGCACTTACTTTACTTTCAACATCATCATCTGCATCTGTCAAATGAAAGTAAAGGGTCAAGAAATATATGCACAATTCTGGTGTGTTTACTCTTGTCTGTTTAGTTATTTCATGAACTGTAAGACTTATACATCAAATGGACTGTACATAAAATGTTGATTTAATTTTTCTCTACAATATTTCTTCAAAATATCTTCCTCTCTGACAAATCTGTAGCAAGTCATGCTCAAGATTTGTATAAGAAATGTATGTAGTCCTCATATAGTGTCCCTTCCTGCTGATTTTAACCAAACTTGGAATGTACGGGCAAATTTTAATTAAATTCCTAATGTCATATATCATGAAAATATATTTTGATGTTGTCAGGCTGCTGCATGCAAGACAGACAAATATGGCATATATAATAATCACATTTTTTTCAACATTTCATTGTGAATGCATCAAGATGCTACAAAGTAAACAAGGAAACTCATTACGTCTATAATTTCAGTAACTAAAAATAAACATAGAAAATGTAATCAAATTTTAGGTAAGACTGAAAGTGGCACACCATTTATTACAAAATGGGCCCCACAGAACATATACAGGTACTTTCATTTTATACAAGAAAAATCCATGTATTTCATACAAATTTCTTGTAATGAATACATGTTTTGGAGATTGCCTATCTATGCACCCTCATATCTTTTATCATTCTACACCCCTCCCCCTAAACACTCTGAGGAATACTTTAAAAACTAAGCTAATAATCTATTCTCATAAACTGGAGGAGAAGGATTCTGGAAATTACCTGCAGACATTTCACCACCCCATTCCATCCCAAAACTATTCCTACATCATCATCATCATCATCATCATCATTCTCATCCTCCTCCTCCTCATCATCATCATCATCGTCAGAGCAGCTCTTTTTGAGCCACTGCCTTCTTTAGAAAATTAGGCCATCTGGTTTTCACTTCTTTGGATTTTGCAAGAATAATTTTTTTACACAGCAAAGTTGTCAATCTTATGTTCAATGCCCAACCTGGAGGTACAGGACTCTGTATTTATGTCCCCAAGTGACAGGGTGGACCAGTTATACACCTAGGCATCATGTTCCCTTTTTGTCGCCTTCTAGGATTTGGATGGCTACGGTGGAAGTATTCTAACCTGCCTCCACATGGGACAAATATCCCTGCAAGGTGTTCCATTACTGAGTGAATCTGTGCATTGCAAGAAAATTTAACTGCATAAAACAGCTGGCAAAACTATTTTTTTAAATCACTGTAGCAAAGAAAATTTTCCAGACTGTATCGTGGCACACTCTATTAGTAAAAGTCCCTGTGAATGGTATAATTAACACAGTTCTTCACTAAAGGTAGAGAAGTAAATTTTACTTTACTTATATGTGGAATGATTAATATAATTTACTAATTTCACATGCACAATGAGTTTTACATATATAAAATAAAATAAATCAAATGTTACTTCTAACTGAAATACAGTCGACTCTCGATTATCCGGGATAATGGTGGGCATGGAAATCACGATTAATCAAAAACCCGGTTAAGACAAATGTTATTAAAAGTAGTACTGTAATACTGTACCTTCATAATACTATAGGCCTACCTGTATTTAAATTTACTCAACCTCATTTTTATGTCATCTCATGGCCTATTTGATACCTTTTGTACATTATACTGAAGTGTGAATTAGTTATTTCAATCACAGTGTTCAACAACATCCAACACTTTTTACGAATATTCACACTTAACACTTAAAAAAAATTAATACTGTCGTTTGCTTTTTCGCGGCATTTTCCTTTTTACGGATATCCGTACGAAGCCTACGTAATATTAGCTTGTCACTTAGTAAACTGTTCTCTTCACTCTCAAGATAGTCTAGTAAGGATTCCAAATGATTAAGGGCAGCACCATGTGATATTTTCTTACTAGCAGCACTGTCCACCTCTTCCTCATTCTCACTTTCTTCCCGCTCTTCTGGCTGCACCCCCACTGAACTTACGGTTTCTTCACTGCTTAACATTCGAAGCCTGGCTCACACGAGTTTCTGTTGAATACTTAACACAACATGCTTCCTTTTACACCCTGACATTTTGCTAACGCATTTGAAGATCGATACAAAGAGACCAACTGGGGCGGAGTATCTGTACTTGAAACTTTCCACAAATCCTTGCATTCTTTCACCCCTACCCTAGAACATTGTGTTAGCATAACGGGACCAAAGAATGCAGAGCTCGGTTCACACTAGTGCGAAAATAGTGTTACAACTCACCATGTGAAACAAAAGTGAATGAATATTAAACAACATATAAGCCTCAAAAAAGCCTCAGTAGCCCCGGTTAAGCCGCAAACCAGTTAATCCGCCCCTGGATAATTGAGAGTTGACTGTACATTCTAAATATGGGAAAATCACCAAGTTTCAATGTGTATCACCCTTCACAGATTTTTCTTACCTGCATGACTTAACTTGTCGTTGTAATCCATAAATGCTGGCTGTGAAAGTTCAGCTTTGATTTTATTCAAGGAAATTACATTTTCACCATCATCATCATCATCATCATCATCAGGGTTAAGCTATCTCAAGTCATCCATAGTCATAGTCTTCTCCTGAAATATGAAGATAACAAATTACTCATGTTAGAAATGCATATATTTATTTGTAGTGTGTCCATACAAACATTTATATAGTCCAGATTACAGTCCTATAAATATTACTACTGAGAGCATAATTTTATATGTAATAAGTTTAATTTGGATAACTGAATATAGCAGGTAAATATGAAAGCAGAAAAGAGTCCAGTGGCAGGCCCTTGTGAACACAGTAACAAAACATCACGGGTTGAATCCAAAAGCAAGTCTTACTGCTGGAGGCAAACCTTGGCTGCTGAATATGCCTGTGAATTTTTCTGGGACCAATATCAGGAATAAATTTAAAGGTATTGGCTATCAATTACATCCTGAAGTAAGAATCAATTGTTGGAGTTTATTCACATTTAAATATGAATAAATATTAACTTCCTTAGGGCAATAAAGTTTGAGACTCAATACCTACTTCTGAAAATCCATTATTATACCTGGTAACAGGTAGCATATTCACTTACATGTGTTTTCTCCTCACCCAAAAATATTTATTTTATTTTATTACAATTTATTTCAATCGTAAGCTAACTACCATCTTCTTTCCTTTCCTGCCTTGGCCCTATTTTGAATAACTGAAGACACACGGACTACGGGTGCAACAGTAGCTGTAAGAAGTAATATGAGCAACAGATAGAAAATAATAAAATTACTTCTTCATTAATATAATACTCCTTCAATAACATTAAATACAACACATTTTCACCATTTCAGCAATTCCTCAGTCATCTTCTGGGACTTCAAACATGTAAAAAGTTGGATTCTAAAGGGTTCTGATGATGGTGTATAACACTCAGGATTACTGGATTTTGGGCATGGTGACTGAGGTTAGCTCTTTCTAACTGATCCAGAAGAGTAGGTGTCTGCCACCCCTCACCTGGGGATGGAAGGAGATCCATTTTTTTAAACATCGTGTTCCTTTGTGTTTTTCAGAATACTGGATGATGAATGAAGTCCAAAAACCAGGTGATCCTGACTATAAGAAACTATTATCAATTACACTGTTGTATTGATTTCTACTTTTTTCTCCAGTTGTTTCAGTTACTATTTTATTTTAATGCCTTTCAAAACTGTTAAAAAACCTTCTACATTATTTAAAAAGAATTATTTTATTACAACATGCTGAATATATTCAGGTATAATTATATCATATACTGCCTCTTTGGCCTTACCCATCTAAATATTTATAGAATTATATTTAATATTTTGTTACTGAAAATTCTTACACATATCCTTTAAAAATTAGTATCCCAATTATCCTTCCTATTGCCTATCTATTATTTTCACCATTAAATATAGTGCCTCCTTTCCTATGTTATACTGGGAATACAGCAAAAAGGCTAATGGATTAACCTACTCCATGTCTCCTCGAGCTGCTATGCTTCCTAATATTCCCCCCAGTATGCTAGCCATTCTGCTCATGGGAATGTTGGTACATAACCATGCAATAATATTCCCTAACACTAATTATTTTGGGATGGTTAACATAGGCCAGTAGGAGATAGAGAGGAATGCAACAACAGGCAGAAAGGGCGGAGCCTTGAGAAGTGTCATCCCTAACATCCATAGTACTCCTTTCTGTGGCATCAGTATAGGATAGTTTACATTAAGATACTATGCGCTTAACCCTCTTCAGTTATTTCAATTCTATTGTAACGTGGACGGTGCACCAGGAACTAAGGGTCATGTGAACTCTGTGCTTCTGCAAGTGACATCACATACCCCCATTCCTTCCATCACTACACAACGCTTGGTAAACACCCCTCCCCACTAGTCTGTGATGTCATGCAATGGGCAAGTCCGTGTAGTGACTATTGCTAGGCTATAGATAAACACGGCAATTACCCAACAGGGAAGCGAATGTCTAAGGAGTTCAGTGGAAGTCTAGCATTCGCCGGAGTTAGTTGAACATTAGCAGTCGGTTTCCAGCCTTCGAAGAGATGAGGCAAAGTACAGCAGCCACGAGTTGTTGTTAAGTTGTATCGAGTGAATGGATTCAAGACAGATGAACCAACGAAGTGACTACTGCAGATGGCAGTAATTGGGACACAGTAAATTGTGTAAGTGTAAGAGTGAATGTGCAATAAATTAGCTAGATCCAAAATGTCGGGAAGTTATTTGTTGCATTACAAACACCCAACATGTGACAATATTATTTCATTTTTCATCTAAAATCATACTGATCTTCTAGTTTTGGTGCCACAATTCTGGTACTTCATGAAAAAATATCTGTATATTTTCTCCTCACTGTTCTTGGGAATGGCAGAAAAGTAAATAGTACAGTGTCCAAGAAAGAGAGCACATATTTTAATATTTTTGTTGAGAAACTAAAGGGAGCTAGGAGAGTAGATTTCCATCATGTGAAACAGCTACACAGTGAATTCTTCCACACCTTTTAAAGTTTCGGCCACCTGACAGTAGAACTGTCAAAGTCTTACATAAAATACTTATTGCCCATTTCATGGCCTGTAAGATTGCCAGATTTAACAACCCTAAATTTTTTCCTTTCCAGGTACACAAAGGACCAAATGTACTGCAGACAAGTCACTTATTTGTAAGTTTTGAAAACATATTGTCCATTCTATGGGAGAATTCATGCCTCAAATGTGTGGATATGCTTTCAGGGCATTTGAATACCAGATGGACATTGTGCAAACAACAAAGGAAGCTCAGGTAGAAGTGCAGAGAAATGGAGAAAGCTACAGAAAAAACTGTCTGAGTAGGAGCTTCATGTAGAGAAAAATGTACTCTCCAGATGTGTATTTTCTAAAAAAAAAGTTTATAAAATGTGTGTACTCTTTCTTGGTCATCCTGTACATTCAATAAGAGGATATTACAGCAAATGTAAGTTACGATAGAGATAAATTTTCCCAGCATTCACTTAAACTTGCCTGTGTTATAAATGTGCTGTTATCTTGAGAAATGGCAGGTGCGCAAGCAATGCAGTCCTCAACAGTGCCCAATTGGCCCATCACATCACAGTAAGCAATCTCACCATTGCCACTTGGGTTCCATGCCAGTCCACATATGCTGTATCCCTTATCATGCCGAGTGCTCATAATACAGGTCTGAAGATTTAAATTCCACACACAGATATCTCCACCTGATGTACAACCTGCCAAATAGTTGCCACATGGGGAAAATGCTGAGATGGAAAAGTCCTGTAAACATTAAATGTATTTATAAATATAACATGTAAGTAGTTGATCCATGCTGCAAATGGACTTAACCCTACCCATTCTTATACGATATATTCTGCATTTGAGATTTGCACTCACATATCATTTTAAACACATTCAACATAGGACTTCCTGCCCAGATTCTGTCATTCAGTTACATAGCAGTTATGTTCGCTCTTCTGAATTCTCACAGAGGGTCAAAGTGGTTTGCTACTGCACTTAACAGAACAGATTAAAAAAACAGTACTTATGAATATTAACAACTCCTGTAACCTGGGAAGGGTTAAGAATATCTTTGGTAATAAAAACCAGACATTCATCACATCTAAGAGATTCCTGAGCCAATTTAATCCAGTTCACATTATATCCCCAACATCAATTTTAATATTATCTTCACATCTCTGTTTTCCAACAGATTTTTGTACCAAACCATACTACCATTTAAGCTACATATCCTGCTCATCACAATCCAATGCTGTTTCCCAAGAACGAGATCATGCCTCATAAAACAAAATTACAAAAGTTTTTTTTGTATCTTGCTTTGTAGTGATTTTGAAAGCAGCATATAAAACTAGCAGAAATTACTTTCAGACAATTAAGTCTTTAATACAGTTTCATATAATGTACTGGCTACTCTTATGCAGGAAGTAAGATGAACCGTAATACTGATGGTATTAGTGTTCTGTTTTCCCAGTTACGTGACATTTCATTGTTGATCAAAATGTCAAGCTTTCATTTGATATATGGGCAGTGTTGGTATGTTCTTAGCCAGAGCACTGTGAATGTGGAAAAGGTAAAAAGTTAAAGTAGAATGACTCTGAAACTGAATACTATCACGTTCAATGCCGTATATTTGTGGTTATACATGCTAATGAAGGGGAAAATACATAAACATAAAAACACAGAGAGTACAAAATACTGTTTAATACAGAAATTCAGAAACTTATGTACAGTACATAATGGTTCAATTATCTAAAAATACTGTAAGACTTACAGCAAAAGTGTATTAAACATAAAATGTGTACTTAATTTTTCTCTTACACTGTTTTGGACAATGCCTTGGTCACCTCAGTGTACACCATTTTCTGAAACAGCCTGTAGCCATACTGAATTGAATTGAATTTATGTGCATTCCATAGACCCTAAGTAGGTCAATACCTCTGGATATAGAATAAGTCAAAATAATACCTACTGGTACAAGTAATTTTATCTTAAACTAATATAGCTTAATTCTACATTATTCTCTATTTACATTGAGGTATTCATCTACAGAGTAGAAGGAATGAGCATGCAGATATTTCTTTAGCTCTGATTTAAAATGTTTAGTTTCATTACTCAAGTTTTTGATACTTTGTGGGAGACTACTGTACACTTTCATGCCAGAAAAGTAGACTCCTTTTTGATATAGTGATAAGTTTGATGAAGGTAGATGGAAGTTATATTTTTGTCTAGTATTCATGTTATGGATATTGGAATTTAATTCAAATTTATTTTTGTTGTACGCAACAAATAAGAGAAGCAATAGTATATATTGTGATTGAAGAGGTAGAATTTTTAATTTCTTAAATAAATCTCTACACGAATCTCTACTTCTATGTCCTGTAATGATTCTAATTATATTCTTTTGTATCTTAAAAATTTTTACACTATGTGAAGAGTTCCCCCAGAATATTAATCCATAGTTCATAATAGAATGAAAGTAGGCATGGTAAACCATCTTCAGTGTTTCCTGTGGCATAAAGGGCTTAATCGATCTCATTGCATAGCAAGCTGCACTTAATTTAGGTATAGTTTGTTCTATATGTATTTTCCAAGAAAGTGTACTGTCTACATGTATTCCAAGGAATTTTGTATCATGTGCTTTACAGATTAATTTGATGGCATAACTGATGACCAGATAAATTTGGTGGCTGTTTTTAGTTAAGAATGGTATGTAATGGGTTTTATCAAAATTTAGTGAGTTTATTGGCTTCGAAACATCTATTTAAAGCTTCAGTACCCATTGTGCTTTCCCCCTCTCTTACTGCCTGCTGTCTTCCAATATGACCCCTCCCTTTTGTCTGACAAATGAACTGTGGATCACTGATTGGCATTCACTACTTGGTCTGGTTGCAGCATATCCCAGAGATGAGTAGATGGATCTCTTGTAGTCTGGGGATTGCAAGGTTCACTCAAACGCTGTTCTAAGTCATGTTTGGTCCTTTATTCTGAATCCTTATTTTAGCCTTGTTTGACATTGGTTTACTCACATCCAGTTGGTCCACCAGGTTTGTGCTTTATTTGTCTATCTCTATCCTTTGGGCTGTTGACTTTTTATTTACTATCTGGTACTGCTTCATTTGATTATTCTTCTTATTTGGCCTTAGCCCTGCAATCTACTAACCACATCACTGGACAATAACCACACCAAGATCAGTGGGCACAGCTAAAAACACAAAGACTCTCTGTGTTTGTTTTGGCCTGGTTATTGTTTGTATTCTTTATTTGTTAACTACATACCACTGGGATTACTACAGTTTCACTGCATTATTTACTGCATTGTATGTCTTAACTGGTGATGATCCCAAGAAGCAGTCAAAAGTCTTCGAGATGGTCAAATGGAGGTTTGGTTTCTTGTTTGTTACCCCCCTTCACCCACCATAACATACACTACCTTTGTTTGAAACTTTTCTGCTCCCATATATAGCAAGTTATGCTCACAAAACTAGCAAAAATGACACAGGTCTTAATGTAAAGTGGTCGTTACAATCATCCAATCTAAACAAGAAATGAAATATTTCACCAATGTTTACAATATCAAATTTTAATCAAATATGTCCACTGGTTCTTGAGTTGTTTCATTACACCGGCAGATAGGTGAAGTAAGTGAAGAGGCCATCTGCAGGGTTATAAATGCACCTAAAAATGCGGATGGATAAGCTGCAATCTGAATAATTGGATGTACAGCTGTTTAGTTTACTGAAGTTGTTTTAGAACATAAAGGTACTATCTTCACAATAACTAAATGAACTGGGGCAAAGAAAACTCATATATAAATAAATAACAGCTAATTCATAACAGTAAGCTGGACTATTCTTCACTGATGGGCCACTTTAATGACTAGGCTAGCTCTGCTTCTAACCCAATGCATTAATCTTAAAAATCAACTAAGCAGTGAAACTCTGCCCATATCAACTGCTGAAAGCCTGTAATGTATAAGTTAAAACAAACCATGAATTGCTCCATTTTGTGTATGATAATTAGATGACAGTAGTGCAGAGTAATACAAATTGTGCATAAGCTTCATTACAATCTGGTTCAAAATTGGTATCTAACCTGTTTTACTTGGTCATGAGATAGAGATAAAATTTTATTCCATGTTCCTCTCTCATAGGCTTGAATCTCTCTTCCATGAGGCACAGCCAAATAACGTCCTGTCTTGGGCTGCCATGATGGACGCCCTAGGCACTTCGCTGCGAAGAAGGCATTGCATACAGGAACACAATTCCAAGACATTATGGTCTGGGTATCATCAATAGACCACACGCGTACTGTTCCATCACAGCTTGATGATGCCTAATAAAAATGAGCTATTATTCCTGTTTTACTTTTATTTCAGTAGTACAGTAATTGCATTATTAACATGAAAGGTTCAGAATATCAAATATAAATCTATATAGCTTGATTCAGCTGCATAATTCATAAAGGAAACAGAAAATCTAAGTACTCAGCTATGGTTCAAGACAAAAAGGAAAGAGAAATAAAGGTTTAAGAAGGTAAGTAGGTATCCTTGCCCAATCCCAATTCTGAAAGTTCAACACTGCAGTGGCTATTATGTGTGGACCACTAGCCACCACAGCACATGAAACCACAAACATCACCACCGTAACAACAAAAGAGAACACAGGAAGAAAATATAGAACACAACATATAATTCTGAAATTATTTTGACAAAACCCCAACTCGGTTCTTTTAACACTTTGTGGACCGGTGGCATATTAATATGATATTAGGACATGTTAAATTGTAACACACTATACCTTACTCTGGTGCAACCTAAATGAAATGACTACTGCGTAATATTATTCTGGAATGTTTGCTTAGTAGGCAGTAACTTGATCTTGCTGTTTGGGTCCCCCTCCAAAGGAAAATGATGTTTGACCCTTCAAGCTCTTATGTACCAGGCAGGAAGTTAGTAGTGCAATGAGTCAAGGACAGGAGCCATTGAAAACCAAGCAATATCTGATTTGTTCTCCGATGAGCTATCTGACGTAAGCTATCTGACGTTCCTTCTGAGACATGTAGTGATAGTGATTCAGACAGTGGCAGTGACAGAGGACAACAAGCAATTGTGGCCACAGACAATAAAAGTGAAAGTAACTCAGACAAAGGTGCAGGCAGTAAAATTGTTGGGACAGCCACATGGGGAAAAGTACACAAAACGCCTTCTTTGGGACAGTTTACTGGAAATCCAAGGGTGAAACAAATTCCATCGGACCAAACGCAAGTGTCTGAAGTAGCAGAACTGTTTTTTGGAGATAGAGATACTCTTGTTGTGAACATGATTTCCACAGTTTACAATTCGAGCATGGTTGATGTTCAAAGGAGACATGGACAAGTAAAGAAGCCTACTACTCTGTCCAAAAAGTATCCAACCTTGGGCCGGGAAAACAAAGTTCTGTATCTGAGTGGTTACAATACCTAATCGCCTTCTAAGTAGGCGTGCAGCTGCACCATCGCGTTTGGTATGATGTCCTTGTGGATGTTAAAATGGCAGCCTTTTAGTGGTGTCCTCAATCTTGGGAACAGCCAGAAATCACAACGAGCCATGTCAGGACAGTAGGGAGCCTGGCGAACCTGCGGAGTGCCGTGCTTGACCAGGAAACCCTGGATCAGGTGCGATGAATGAGCTGGGGCATTGTCATGATGCAGCTGCCAGTTGCGTGCATCCCACAGTTCCGGTCTCTTGTGTTGAACTGCATCATGAAGATGGCGGAGGACTTCTTGGTAGTGCTCCTTACTGACAGTCTGGCCTAGTGGTGCGTACTCATGCTGTACAACACCCCAGTAATCGAAAAAAAAAACAATCAGTACCACCTTCACGTTGTCCGAACCTGTCATGCTCTTTTGGGCCTCGGGGATGTTGGATGCTTCCATTGTGATGCCTGGACCTTGGTTTCCAAGTCATATCCGTACACCCACGGCTCGTCACCAGTGATCAATCTTCAGGAACTCAGGATCCCTGTTGGCGCACTCCAGCATGTCCTGCGCAACCTCAAGGCGGAGTTGTTGCTGCTCCAGCAAAAGCAGCTTGGGCACAAATTTTGCTGCGACTCTTTGCATGCCCAAATCCTCAGTTAAAATTGTGTTTGCAGAACCTCTGCTGATCCCGACATCAGCAACTTCGCGGATGGCCAAATGACGGTCCTCCATGATCAGTGTCTGCACTTTTTCAATGAAATCAGCCTTTCGGCTCACTGACAGTCTCCCGGAATGCTGCTCACTGTCCGCCGACATACGGCCATGTTTAAAGCGGTTGAACCACTCTTTAATTTGAGTGACCCCCATTGCATCATCGACGAAAGCCTGCTGAATTTTGCGAATTGTTTCCGCTTGGGTATCCCCAAGTTTCTAACAAAACTTAATGCAGTATTGCTGCTCCAAGCATTCTGTCATCTTGAGCGAAACGAGAATGCAACGAACACGTGTTACACCACTTCGCTATCTGGCAGCCACAGATGCATCCAACAGTGTTGAGAGTCAGCAAAAAATCACGCATGTGCATGAAAGTCCCTTCTACCACTACGCTCAGTTTCCCCACCCCTTTGGCCATTACAGCGGGAAAAAATAAAGTCAGATACTTTTTGGACATACAGTATTTGTATTTCTGAGTATAATATGTTCATGAAGGGAGTTAATAGAGCCCATCAATACTTGGCCTACTATTCTCTTCCTAGGAAAATAATAAAGTGGACAAAGAAGGTTGCCCTGTGGCTTATAAACTGTGCCATTTTCAATTCATTTTTGGTTTACAAAAGCTAAACCCTGATTCGAAATTGAAATACAAAGCATTTCTGATGAATGTGGCAAAGGCCTGGGCTACAGACCAGATGGTGGCGGCAGAACCAGAGTCAGGCACAGACTTAGTGCGACTGGGTCCATCAACTCCCACCCCAAGCAATCCTCATTTGGACACCCCTGGGCGACTCTCGGGTGATATGCAGAAACATACCCTCGTGAAAATTGTGAAGAGTGAACATTCCAAGGGGATGCATCCTTCTAGGCAGTGCTGTGTTTGCACAGTTCACAAAAAAAGGAGTATGACTGTCTACATTGCAAGTTCTGTGTAATGTCACTTCACAAAGGGGAATGTTTCCAGAAATATCACACTCTCAAGCACTTCTAGAAGCATTGGTAAGTGTTCTCCAAAAATTTTAGGTTCTAAATTAATTACATTTCATATCAATTTTTAAAGTGAACAGTGTACAATTTATGGTTGTAGGTTTAAAAATGCTGGTCCCCAGGGTGATTTAAATATTTAAATTTCCAGTCCGCAAAGTGTTAAAATAAAAATAAACTTTTAGACTCACATGTCTTGTGCACCATGAAATATTGAATACTATGTAGCAAATTTACATCAACTACCATACATAGTTGATGATGGCCCCATGTGGGCAAAACACGTCACAAATACAGTGGAACCTCGCTTAACAAGCACCTCTCATAATGAGTAATTCGCATAATGAGCAAAACAAATTGTAAAAAATGACTCACATAACAAGTGACGAGAGGGGATTGTGCGCTTGCTACATCAGTCTGTGTTTAGCACTCGTTCCGCTAGCATCTTAGTGTTACTTGTGATCACACATTTCTCCAAACATGTGTTCAGACATATTATTTGCAATTTTTTTTGTGCAAAGTTTAATAACCTTTGCAAAAATGTCCCCGAAGAAAAAGCCACAAAAAGACAGCCATAAAAGAATAAAAATAACTGTATAAATGAAACGTAAAATCATTGAAAAGCGAGAACAAGGTGTGGGCATGGCTGATCAGGCACGCACATACAATCAGTCTACATCAACAATTTGCACTATCCTCAAGAACAAGGACAAGATTAAGGAGATAGGTGCTTCAAAGGGAGTGACAAGAATATCTACGCAAATGTTATGTATTCTCGACGATGTTGAAAGGTTGTTCCTCATATGGAAGTTAATAGTGTTGCAAGGCAACACTATTAACGAGAACATCATTTGTGAGAAGGCAAAAGTGATTTTCTTTGAATAAACGTTATACATAAAATTTTTTGAGTATTTTTTTTTGGCATGGAACACATCGTATTTTACATTAATTTATATGGGAAACATTGTTTCACTTAACGAGTGTTTCGCATTACGAGTAAGATTCTGGAACGAATTATGCTCATTAAGCAAGGTTCCACTGTATATATAAAACTGGGCCTAGGTAGTGTTCTAACCAACAAGCTATGAGGTACTGCATTTGAAAGACTGCATTACACATATATGAGGGTAATGAAAAAAGTAACAAATATTGTTTCTGGACATTATCCATCATGTTTTTATCTAAAACACTGTCCTGTTTATATTTCAAAACACAACAATTTGGAGAATGGATTCTGTCTTCGGGTAAAACCTATTCAGTTGGGCCTTATCAACAGATCTAGTCCCTATCTCTGGAACTTGGACTTCTTTTTGACTGGAAAGTGAGGATGCTTCCAGGTCACTGATTCAGCTTTGCTCTCTGTGGTGTAGTGGAAGACCCAAGTCTCATCTCCTGTAACAATTCTGCTTAAGAATGCTTCACCATGCTCCTTGTAACACCGAAGAAGCATCAGGAATGGCTCCAACACAGTGCAGTCTGCAGAGAAAGTGAAGCCTACTGCTTGCTGGGATGTTCACAGAGTTCTTTTGGTTGATTTCACACCTCCTGGTTCAACAATAAATGCAGCTGCTTATCAGGAAACATTAAAAGGGACTCCAGGAGGCTATTCAGCAGAAGAGACCAGGATTGTTGACCAAAGAGTTCTTCTTCTGCATAACAATGCTTGACCTCACAGTGCTACAACAACTTTAACTCCTGAGGCCGTGAAATTCTTCCACATCCACAATACAGTCCTGATTTGGCACCAAAAATGAAAAGGCACCTCAGAGGTCGGTGCTTCCACTCCAATGAAGATGTTCAAAATGAAGTCATGAAATGGTTACCTGCCCAGGATGCATTTTTTTAGGAAGGACATGACAAATTGATATATTGCTATGATAAGTGTCTAAATAGACTTGGTGACCATGTGGAGAAGTAAAGCTAATATGAAACTGTATCTCAGCCTCATGAGTTACTCTCATTCATTCATCAGTAAACTGTCAGATGGCAGGTCCACAGTCTCTTCCAAAACAGTTCCTCCACTTAATGCGATCTAGAGCTTTCTCCTTCAAATGACAGTATGAGAAAATCCTCTTCTGTCCCCAAGGTCATCCAGCATCTTCTTACGTCTTCTTCCTCGTCTTCTGGTCACTTCTATCCGCCCCTCTATCATTCCTTCAATAACTTCTTTTAGAAGGCAGTTACTGCATAAGATATGACCAATCCAATTAGCCTTCCATTTTCTTATTTCGTGTAGGATATTCCTCTGCTCATTGACTCTAAATAACACTTCTTCATTTCTCACACAATCGGTCTAACTGATCTTCTCCACCCTTCTCCAACACAACATTTTGAAGCTTTCCAGGTGTTTCTGATCTACTGCCCTAAGTGGCCAAGTTTCAGCCCCATACAAAGCCATGCTCCAAATGTAGCATTTCACTAGTTTCTTTCTCAAATTTAAGTCCATTTTGCTGGTAAACAGATTCTTCTTCTTGCTAAATGTAGCTTTTGCCATGGCAATCCTACATTTAATTTCACACGTACACCTTCCATCATCTGTTAACAAGCTACGCAAATATTTAAAACATTTCACATTCTCAAGTTGTTTTTGGTCTATCTTCATTGTGACTGCGGTTGGTTGTCTCAAAATTTTTATTACCTTTGTTTTCCCCACATTCATTTCCATGTCATAGCACCTTCCAATTTTGATTAGTCTATCAATCATACCCTGTAGCACAGTTTCTTCCTTAGCCATTAACACAAGGTCATCTGCATATTTCACAGTTGGAATAATTTGCCCTCGTTAATTTGAAGTCTCCAAGCCCATCCACAGCTTCCTTGGTAAGGCATTCGCTGTACAAGTTGAACAAAATTGGTGATAAACAGCATCCTTGTCAAACTCCTCTTCCAATCTTCACACTTCTTGTCTCCCCTCTGTCCAGTCGCACTCTAACTTTCTGATCCATGTACAATTTACTAATCAATCTTCTTTCCCGCCAATCAACAAATGTTTCCTTTAGGATCTGCATTAATTTGGTCCAATTTACATGGTCAAATGCCTTCTGCCTGTCTATAAAGCAAGCACACAGTTCTTCATCTATCTCCAAAGTTCGTTCTGCTATAATTCTCATCATCGCAATTGCATCCCTGGTTCCTTTTCCTCTTCTAAATCCAAACTGATCCTCTCCAAGTATATCCTCTATTTTCCTTTCAATTCTTCTTTTAAGCATCTTTGCTAATATCTTTGCTGTATGTGCAATAAGGCTTATTGTGCAACGGTCGCTGCAGTTTGTAGCTTTTGTCTTTAAGGCAATCATTGTCATTTCTGTAAAGTCCTTGGGCTACTCCCAAGTTTGCTATTATCTTTGCTGTATGTGCAATAAGGCTTATTGTGCAATGGTCGCTGCATTTTGTAGCTTTTGTCTTTTTCTTTAAGGCAATCATTGTCACTTCTGTAAAGTCCTTGGGCCACTCCCCAGTTTCATATATGGTGTCTATTAGTTTTGTCAGTGTTTTCAAACCACCTTCTCCCCGTAACTTAAGCACATCTCCAGGTACATCATCATCTATTTAAATAGAAAATAGGGGACATAATTGCACTGTAGTGTCAGGATACTTCCTATGTTACTTTCTACAAACATTTCCTCCATGAAGAATGCTGTACAGAGGTAGCATACATGAATAATTTCTGTTTGATATATTTCATTTCTGAACACTACAATTCACAACACTGTGTACTACATTTGCAATAAAGACTTAACACTGCATTAGTAACTGGAACTGAAGAAAACTGTCACTGATATTTACAAAACACTATAGCAAGTTCATGGAAATTGAACAAATGATTAATACACAGACTTTTAAGTGTTTTAAATGATTTCATAATGGAAGGGAAGACAGTACCTCACTCATCAACTCCATGGAGAAGAGTCCTTGAGGAACTATTGTTCAACAACAAATCAAGAAATTCCCAGCCTTTTGTAGAACCCAAAATATAACCAACCACAATGAAAAAAGAGAGAATCATAATTAATCACCCTCATAAATATAATTTATGCCGCTTACCACATATTTGTCCTTTGGATCCAAGGCAACACCAAGAATAGGAGCTCTGTGTCCTGTTAAAATTGTAGTCTTTGAGGTTCCAATATTGCTGACATGAATCTCTGTATCACTGGAATAATAAAATACACATAAGGCAAAACTATTAAATGAAATCTGTACATCACTAAGCTTCCGTATACAGGTCTAGCGAAAACTACAGGCAAAGTCACCGAAATTGGGGACAAGAGATTAAATTCACAAAAATAATGTGAGCAAATGGGACTTTTTTAATATCTCACATTTCATTTTCACAAACAATTCTTGTTCTTCATTTTTCTTGTATCTGAGAAAATGCTGAATCGATTGCAATCTACCCCCAGAGCCCAAACCCAGCATCCATGCTACAGCAAAGTGCAACATCAACCAGAAGACTGTTATTTTATACATACATACATACATAGCATTCCATAGATCCATGAGTTAGTCAGATGACCTACCGGATGTGGAATTAGTCAAAAATCATACAATACATATATACATGCACAATTCAAGTTCACATAAATAGTAAGGATTTCACAAAAGTAGTAAAATATCCATCATAAATCCATACATTAACATATACTAG